GTCAAGTTCAAAGGCAGGTGGAACGTTTATTCCACCCAGGGTGACCACTACACTACTATGCTAGGTGTCAACTCTATCGTTATGAGTCACAGAGTAACTGGACTGTGTGTGAGAGGTTATGACTCAGACGTTCGCATCGATCTCCCCCCCTCATACACCAAAGACTGTATTCCAGTTAACTATGACAACATACCCACCAGAGACACAGCAAAACAGTGGCCCCACCTGTCAGGAATCGCTAATAAGATACCACCTCTCCTTAGTTGTGATGTTGGACTCCTCATTGGATTTAATTCCCCTAGAACTCTAGCTCCAAGACAAGTTCTGCTAGGAGAAGGTAACGCGCCTTATGCAATCCGCACAGACTTAGGGTGGAGTGTTGTTGGGGGCTCCACATCGACTCTCACTGATAGTGAGCCAAGATTGTGTCACAGAATCACAGTAAAGGAATTACCTCCGGTAACCCCCATAGATGTGATAAATGTGCTAGAGTCAGATTTTAAAGACACAAAAGCAAGCGACAAAACTGTCTCACAAGAGGATCTCATTTTTTTGGACAAGCTCAAAGAAGGAATAAGGAAAAATGAACAAGGACATTGTGAGATGCCTCTACCATTTAAACAAAGACCACACTTACCTGACAACAGAAAGCTTGCAGAAATCAGACTCGGACACCTAAAGCGAAAGTTCAACAAAGACGAAAATTACAGAAGAGACTACATCACTTATATGAAAGATATTATTGAAAGGGGTGACGTTGAAGAAGTACATAGTGAAGGAAAACAAGGGGAACAGTGGTACATACCCCATCATGGAATATATCATCCTAAAAAGCCCAACAAACTACGTGTTGTATTTGATTGTTCAGCCAAACACAATGATACAAGTCTCAACGATCATCTCCTACAAGGGCCAGACCTGATGAACAATCTAACAGGCATCCTCCTACGGTTCAGGAAACATCCTATCGCCCTAATGTGTGATATAGAAAAAATGTTTCACCAGTTTCATGTCCAGCAGTGTGACCGCGACTACCTACGTCTTCTGTGGTGGAAAGACGGCGACACAGAAACACAACCTCGGGTATACAGAATGAAAGTACATCTTTTCGGTGCAGCATCATCCCCGGGGTGCGCAAATTATGGACTGAAGCATTTAGCCAAAGAACATTGTCAAACACATCCTATTGGCTCTGAGTTTATAGAAAAGGACTTTTACGTGGACGATGGGGTCACAAGCACAGACACAGTTGAAAGGGCAGTCCAGCTTGCACAAGAGGCCATAGAGATCTGCAAGCAAGGAGGACTTCGTC